CCAGACCTTTTATCTCCTTAATTTATCATGATATAAGGAGGAAACAGGCCACAGCTGGCCATGAAACTGCTTATCAGTCAATTGTCCAATTACTTTTGAGCCTGTGAAAATGGAGGAACTCTGTAAAAAATGGCTGTAATTCCTAAACGGTTAATGCAGTATTTTTCTTGAAGCCGTTGAATTAAAGCTGAAAGTCTACGCTTCAGTCACATCTTGATTGCTTCATTTCAAATCCACTGTGGTGGTGTACAGAGGCAAAATTACCAAAACTGTGTCACTGTCCCAATATTTATGGACCTGACTGTATACTAATTTGTCCCGTCCCGTCCCTGATTTATCGGATCCTTTCCTTTTCACTCATATCCTTTCTTATACCATCCATTCCTCTCCTTTCCCTTCTTTGATCCTTATGTCTTAATATTGTTCTTTTTTTATTAGGGCTACATTGTGCAGAAGAAGATTAACAATAGATCACTATTGTGTATTTTTAAAAACATGTTGTAATCTATATAAATGGTATTCATTTTTTTTAGTATTTGTCAATGTTATTGTTTTTTTTATTTCTTTGCTAGCTGTATCTTCCAGCTCTCATCTGTTTCTTCCTGTCTCACAGACCTGCCTCCTGCTAGATGGGTTATTTCCTCTTGTCTCCGATTTGCTCAGAGAGAAACTGGACTGTCACTACTATGTGTTTCAAGGTGCTCTAATCTGTAGAAGAATTGTACATTATAAAAGTATATGATTTATAACTGCATGTATTTTTTTATGGAATTGACATATTACAGTTTCTGATTGCAGTGTTTATCTTGTGGCTGAAGAGTGTGAAAGAATGCTTGCCCGAGATTAGGGAGATCTCCGGTGCTCCTTTCCTTGAAGAAGGCTCAAATCTAAGAGACAAGCTCACACAAATCATTTGGGACAATGCTGAGAGCCCGGTAAGCCTGGTTTATGTGAATTTGCTATACAAATAGAGAAGCTGATCAGTGTGTGTATTTATATTGCTATTACCAAAGCAATTCATATCATTCGACTGTACCAGATATCACCATGTTACAGTTATTTTATTTATTCCCTATTTTGTGCACAGGTAGAGGGCGTGTCTGAATCAGTACGCACTGCTTTCAGTTTGTTTCTGGAGATTTATGAGCTGGACTGTCGGCTTTCTGGAGATACTGAGAAACGGCTTTATGTGAACTTGCTGCACAGGATTGCTGAGCTGCCATGGGAGTCCAGGGCCAAATACTCGCCACTCAGTGCCCTTCTGCCGTACGTGGGTACGAACAAGGTAAAACTGGTGTTGTGGGATATGCATCAGTTTAAGTCCTACGTAACCATCACTACTATGATTGTCACCAGTTTTTGTGTGTTTAACCATCTGTATGTCTTTTTGTCTGTCTCTGTCTGTCTGTCTGTCAATCTGACAATTTGTGTCTGCCCATCGGTCTGTTTGTCTGTCTATCTATCCATCTATCCATCTATCTGTCTGATTGTCTTTCTGTCTGTGTTAATCTACCTGTTTACGTCTGTCTGTGACTGTCAGTCAGTCTTTTTTTCTGTCTCTCTTTTCTACCTGTCTGTCTTTTCTCAGTCTGTTTTTTTGAATGTCTATCTACCTGTCTGTTTTTTTGGCTGGTTTGTCAGTGTGTTTGTCGCATGTCTATCTGTCTGTCTGTCTGTCTGTCTGTTTATCTGTCTCTGTCTGCCTGACTATGTTTGTCTGTCTCAGGCTGTGTATCTGTCTCTGTTTGTCTGTTGGTCTGTCTATCTGTCTATTGATCTGTTTATCTGTTTGTCTGTC